AATTAACATATGTGATATGTTGTAGGTGACAGCTGAGATGGAGATTTTGTTTTATAGTACTGATGCTAAAGAAATTAAATTTTCAGTTCACTTTTTTCCCCTCATTCAGTCATTTACTTTATTTTTTCTTATTCAAGTTTATCCATGTAATTCTTTAAATTATTTATTCCTTCCTTCGTCCTAGACATTCATTTTTTTATATTTATATGAATCCCATTCATTACAATATTGTTGGTATGCACCTCTGCTGCATATTACATATTATTTTAATTCCTTCATTATTTTTTAATTTCCTCCAGAGAGGACCAATAACGATAAATGAACCAACACCAGTTGCACCAGGACCTGTCAAAATCTCTCTCACACGTTCAGTTTATTCATATGGATCAGTTGCTGTAAGATGGGAGGTAATAAGAATAATACAGAGTTTCAGATCCGATGACGAGTATGAGAACGAGTTTGAGTTTTTAACTTTTAAAGATTGGCACTATCCTTTGCTAGTCGTGGTCAAGAATGTAGATTGAAACTTTAGATTGTTAAAAATTGGACTACAATTTAGTGTCACAGCCTTTATCAATCACACACACCCTCTAGCGATTGTTTCTGTCGCAAAAAAGTAAGTTTTGGTGGACATGTGCCCTTTAATTGAAAGTTTTTTGTTTTCTCCATCATATTCTTCGGATATAAACGGATTTTTGATCAAAACGTCCGAACAATTTTTGCCTTTTACATTATTTCTATCTATATAAATTTCATTTATATATCTAAAAATCCCAGTTATAATCAAGCCCTTGCCTAGAGTTGCTCCAAGCCCAGGCATTTGTACTGGCAGACTAGTGGGCTCCTTTGTCCCTCTAGGGTCTCCACAAATTTATCCCTCTCCTTCCACAAATCACTACACACACTTACTTTTTGTTAGCCCTCAGCAAAACAACATAAATCTTTAATCTTAGCTCGTATATTATGCATTTAGTTTGTTCTAGGAGTTAATGAGAGCATACAGAACTTTGAACAGACTTCAGGAACAGTTTCATTTGCAGATGGTCAATCTGAAGGGATCATCTCTTTACAAGCTAAGGCAGATGATGTATGTATTACTCTATCCATTGAGGATTTACTAGGAATACAATCTAGCTGACATTATATTTGTCATTGATGATGACGGCTGGAAGTACATGTAATGATGATGATGATAATGATTATAAAGATGTTAAAAATTCTGGTGGTAATCATGATGACAGTGATAATGGTGGTGATAATGATGATGATAATGATAATAAGGATGTTGAAGATTCTGGTGGTAATCATGATGACACTATTGGTGATAGCGGTAAAGCTACTGACAATGGTGGTGGTGGTGGTGGTAATAATGATGGTAGCGATTATGCTAATATTACTGCTGTTGACAATGATGGTGATGATGATAGTGACAATGATGATATTATAGTGATGATAACAGTATTAAAGGTGTTGATGATGATAATAGTGATGATACCGAAAACTGTTAAGTACCTTCAAAGGAAAGGGGGTCTGAGACTCGAAAATTAATCATATGAGCTTAAACTAGCCTTAACCTGCACACACCCTCTCCATTCTTCATCATTATTTCTTAAAGCTGTTGCACATGTTTTTAATCACAGATAGCAGAAAACGAACAGGTCTACAAAATACGATTAACATCTGTACACGGAGGAGCAGAAATCAACACCAGCTATTCTGACCTTCAAATCATTATCCCGGCAAATGATGCAAGAGTGAGATTTCCAGTCACATCAATAACAGTACCAGAAAATGTCAGTATTGTTGACCTGGAGGTCTATAGAGGTCTTGAAGAAGATGGCGTGACTAAAATCGGGAATGTCCAGGAAGCAGCGACCATCAACTGGTATGTTGTACCTGGAAATACCAAACCGGGACAACACTTTGAAAGCAAAAACGATACAGTTATTTTTGGTCCTGGTGAGACAAAGAAAGCTATTCAAATCAAGCTCATCAATGACAATGTTCCCGAGCTTGCGGAGAATTTTTCAGTTCACCTTGAGACATCTGTACACAATGTTTACATCGGTCAAGATGGCGTTGCTATGGTAACCATTTTGCCAAACGACGACCAACATGGCGTGTTTTCTTTTGGAACATTTCCAAAAGTTTTGGACGAAGATGACGAGAATAGTGGAGACTTTTTTGTCGACAGGAGTGCGGGAACCTTTGAAAGTGTGTCCTTGTCCTGGAAAATTACTGGTGGTTCAGGTGATTTGTCTTCTGTGTTTGAAAAAACGTCAGGAATTCTTGTTCTCGCCGAAGGAGAGTCTTCAAAACCCATCTTAGTTGTTGTACGCAAAGACTCGACTCCTGAAGAAGCTGTAGAATATTTTCTTGAACTCTCTAATACAACGGGTGGAGGTCGCCTTGACAACACACAAGAAGCACGCAGAGCTGTGTTCTTTGTGTCTGACAGCGATTCAGTTTATGGTGTCGTCGA